CTACCTAGCCAAGCAAGACGCCAGCACCATCTGGTGCTCTGGAGGACAAGGGTAGATGTAGGATGGACTAGGCTAGGTCTCTGCCCCTACTGAGCCATGTGTGAGTAGTGTCTGGGTATGGACATGCCTTGGCTGGGCTGAAACATCCAACAGTAAGAATGGGAATGGGTTGAAGGCCAGTGAGGAAAGGCCACTGTTCCTGCTTGAACAGGAGGTGGACTAAGTAGGGCTGGTCCATGGACCCACCAGTATGCCCAAAGCCTGGCATAGGAAGAGGTTTGATGGCGGAGCTTTGGAAACTGTACTTTAAAGACGCAGTTCCTGCAAATGAGTGCAAGAACGACGATAGGGAGCAACCCAACCAGCCCAGAGAAAGAGACTCACAAGCGTCCATTTGGCATAGGCTGGAGACAGACCAGGCTGAACCAGTTCACATCACCTTCTTGCGGATCCAAGCACCAGAACAGAGTGTAGGTTGGCCAGGTGAGGTGGGCCGTGCCAGATGTGGCCACAGCACCCAAACAGCACACATGAGAACCAGGAAGGGAGGGGGCAAAGCTGGTAGGGGGAATGTGGGCTCCCCTGCTGGACAGCCACTCCCACTGAAGAGCAGGAGTTGGGATGGGGGCAGACAAGACCAGGTAGGGCTACAAAACCTGTGGGCCTCATGTGAGCTGGATTAGGGAAAAGCCAGGCTGGGCTGACTGTTCCGACTGGTGCAGGCAAAAATCAGGGTGGGTGAAGGTTGGTTGGGCTTTGCCTCAGCATCAGTTGCCAGAGGCTGGCACTGGGGGCTTAATCTGTCAAGTTAAACCACAGAACCAACTGGAGACTGCACAATCTGGGAGTGGGAGTGGTCCAGGAAGAAAATAGTGGGCACCTCCCTCTTGGGTTACCACTCCCACTGGAGAGCATAAAAACCAGGACAGGGGCAGGGGTGGCTAGACAGAAAGGCACCCACCAGTATGTGTGTGGGTTGGGTTGAACTAGGCTTCAAAGCCCATTGACATGTACGAGAGCCAAATGGGATGCAGGGCAGACTGAACAAGTCGGCGGTACATACTGGCAAGCACAGGAACCAAGGTAGGGGGCAGGCCTGGTGGGGGTGATGGGGAGTCGCCTCGACTAGGCTGCAGCTCCCACTGGTTAGCGTGAGGACCGAGAATGAAGTGGGCAGGATCGGGCTGGACTGCAACAACCATTGGTTCATGTCGAAGACCAGGCTGGAAACGGAACTGACGCAGCAATTGCAACGACCAGCATGTGCATGAGCTGATTGGGACGATGGACTGTGCCGATCCTGTACTGGCAAACTCACACAAGAATCAGGTCTGGGATCCTCAGATGAAGTTTCCTTGGAGATCCCTCCAACTGAACTGCTGGTCTCAGAACCCCAACCATGAAGAGACTGTGTCAGCCTGTGGATTCTGAATAGATTTTGTTGTGATTGGAATGGCGAGATTGGCAGCAATTCAGAACCGTTGAACTATTAAAACTGCTTGAGCAGGACCCTCGGAGCATGTCACATGTCAGGGACCTGGGATGGGTGGGAGGCTGGGTGGGGCTTTTCCTTTTGTTTCTGCCCTGATCCCAGATACCGGAGGGCGGCGGGGGCGGGGGGTGGACACGGTATTAGTGTGGAAACAATGGTCTTGCCCACTTTCTTGTAGCCCTTGACCCTTTGTACAACCCTATTTAACTATGTAAGATTGTAATATAGTATTTATATGTTAAAGAAATTAGGCTAGGCTAAAACCAGGTGGTAAGGACTCTTTCCTGAAATTTGAGCCATTCCCACTGTCTTCCCAGCCACATTAGCAAGATGCTGGATCAGAAGTAGAGCGGCCAGAGCACAGAGCAGCACTTCCCCGCGGTGCGGAATGTCAGCATTGCAGGCTCAGTTGAGCCCACTGGGCTTCTGTGCAGACCACTGTGCGGTCGTTAGTAATACTGCTTTGTTAACATCGCCTTTGAAGCAACGCAGTTCTGTCGATGGAGTGTTTTTAGGTAGTCACATTGTATTGTTTTTAACCTTTCGAATCATCAACCACTTTTCAGACAAAATCATTTTTAATTTTTTAAAGATTTTTATGGGAAAATCAGATTTACAGAGAGAGAGAAAGATCTTCCATCCACTGGTTTGCTTTTCAAATATCTGCAATGGCCCGAACTGAACCCTTCTGAAGCCAGGAGCCAGGAGCTTCTTCTGGATCTCCTACACAGGTGCATGTCTCAAGGACTTGAACCATTCTGTATTGTTTTCCCGGGCCATAAGCAGGGAGCTAAATGGGAGGTGCTGCAGCCAGAAGATAAATCAGTGCTCATCTGGGATGCTGACATGTACAAGGTGTGGATTTAGCCATTGAATCATTGTGCCAGGCCAGTCAGACAATAGCTTTATAAAAACGTAAATTTGGGGCCAGCACTGAAACACAGTAGTATTAAGTTCAGCTCTTAGCTACAATTTTCGTCTCCCATGGAGTCGCAATTTGAGTTCTGGCTGCTCCACTTCCCATCTTGCTTCTTGCTCATATGCCAAGGAAAGCAGCAGCAAGTGCCTAGGCCCCATTATCTATGTGGGAGACTCATGGACTTCAGGCTCCTGGCTTCCCCCTGACCAGGCCCCAGCTGTGAGCCTGCGAACTGGCAGAGTAGTCCCATGAGCTTGCTGGAACCTACCTAGGAAATTCCTGTCTTCACACACAGGAGTCCTTTGCTGTGTTACAGTTTCAGAAAATCAATGCTCATATTTAGTTGACATTAAAGTCAGCTACAACTGCAGCCCTGGCTAAAATGTGGCAAGACAAATACCATGTTGTCTCTAATATAAGGCAACCTTCATGTGAAATACAAAACAATTAGAAACATAAGTGGACAAGTACGCACATATAATGTCATAAGTGAACTATATGCTATATCTGGCATATCAGAAAGTGCAGGTATGTTACAGTATGCATTTATACTCCCAGTGAAACTTAAACATACCTTACAATAAAATATTAGAATTTCTACCATTGTGTGTGCCTAAAGTGCCATGATTCACTAAATGTGACTACTGTTGATTCCATTGTAATATGGGGGAAATGTTGGAGTGAAATGGGAAGGGGAAGGGGGAATCCCTATACCTGCAAAACTTTATCATGGAAAATCATAACAATAAAAAAATTTTTTTTTAAATTGTATGGCAAGGCTGAGGGAAGCTGTTTATATTCAGAGGAGTCTAAGGACTCCCTCGCAATAACAAAGCCAAAGCCAGTGTGAAAGCAGCTGTGGTGCAGTGGGGGCTGGGAAAGCTGCCAGCGGGAGCAGAGTGCCCAGGATTCTGCCCAGGTTAGTAGACTGAGGTGGGCGTGGCATGAGAAAGCTGTGGGATTGGGACTAGTTTCAGAGAGCTGGCTCATTCCAAACTGCCCAGAGTAGAGCCCTGGGCAGCACCAGATGCTGGCGAGTAAAATTCGAGCCCATTGTGTGTGTGTGTGTGTGTGTGTGTGTGTGTGTGTGTGTGTGTGTGTGTGTGTGTGTGTCTTCGTTTGACTGGACAATAATGTATTTCCACGTCACTGGGTTCCTCAAGTTTCAAAGGATTTTATAGTCTTATCTACTTTTAGCCTTCTGTTTGAGACCAAGTCGTTCTTCTATGAACTCTGAATTCATTTCTCTTACAAACAAAATGAGAGTTTTAGAGCTGAAAGTGACTTTAGCACTGGAAGGTCTAGCTCCACTCCCGCCCTGTGGATTAATAGAGAGCAGTTTAGTCGTTGCCTGGGACAACACAGCCAGAAGCATCGCTTGGCCTGGATGCCGTGTCTGGGACATCTCTCTGACCAACAGAGCCCATAAATGGGACTCTTCGTGACTTGCTGCTTTCACTTAGCACAGTTCAAAAATTCATCCATGTTGTGCCTAATGTCAGTACTTCTTTCTATTCAATTACCAAACAAGATTGCATTTATGGGTAGACTCCATGTTGTTGATGCCTTATTTCCAGACACTTGGATTGTGTCCGGGTTTTAGCTGTTAGGAACAGCTCTGCCAGAAACATTTAAAAATGTGTTTGTGCTTGGACATATACTTCAATTTCTGATTGGAGGTGCTAGAAAGTGGAATTGCTGGATCCTGTGATAATTCTTGTTCAGTTCTGTGAGGAATTACCAAACAGCATGCAACAACAGTGGCACTGCTGGCATTCCTACAGGATTATACTTCTTCCGGGTCCTTGCCTCACCTGTCTGTCTGTACTGCCCAGCCCTCCCAGTAACTAGAAGGTGGTGGTGTGTACGGAGTTTGAGCTGTGTGTCCCTGTGGCTCCTGGCCATAAGTGGCTGCTTGTGTGCTTCCAGGAGCTGGGTCAGCTCATGTTCTTTGTCCACTGTACTTCTTGATGTGGACCCGTAACCGGAAGAATGGCTCGATTGTCTTTACTTCTTTCATATTTTGGTTTATTTCAAAGGGAGCATTACATTAGGAAGGAGAAAATAAGAGACACAGATTTTTCACCTGCTGGTTCACCCCCCAAATGACCGCAGTGGCTGAAGCTGGATCGCAAATAGAGAAGCCGGCAGTTGAAGCTGCATTCACAGAATACCGGCATTGCAGGCCCATTCTCTTGTCCTTTAGCTTGTCTTTTTCCTCTTTCTTGGTGAGGTCATTGTGACACAAAAACTTTTTCAATTTAGTGATGTTCAGTTTATCTTTTTTCCTTTTAGAAGTTGTGTTTCTGTGTCAAAGCCTAGAAATTGTTGCCTTATGCAAGTTAAAAGATTTTCCTATAAATACCTTTTAGGACTCTTACTTTGGGTCTGTGGTGCAATTTGAGTTAATCTCATTGTGCAAGAGAAGTCAGATTTTCTATTTCATATGTAAATATCTAATCATCTAACATCACAGTTGTAAACATTTGTTTACCCAACAGTTCATCTCACCAAGCTCTGATGTAGGAGTTGTGTGTGCTTTGCACAGCCTGGACCCGTACTCATCTCAGTGCTGTTCTCTGTTCACAGCCCAGCAGACCTGGTTATCCTAGCCCGAGATCCAGTGAAGGATTTTACCCCAGCCCACAGCACATGGTCCAGACCAATCATTACCAGGTATCTGTGACTACAAATATACAGTGTATTACTTTGATTACTTGGCACTTGAGGGGTAGGAAAATAGTGTGTGCTTTTATGGTTTGTGTCTGTGTTTGTGACTATTACTGCTGAGCAGAAAGCCAAGGAATAGTCCCCCAGGGCATGACTTACATGCCTGTTGTCTCAACACTCCTCACGGAGAGCACTCTCACTCCCCTCCCCCAGCACACACTCACTCCTCCCCCTGAGCACACTCTCTCCTCCCCGTGAGCACACACTCACTCCTCCCCGTGAGCACACACTCACTCCTCCCCGTGAGCACACACTCTCACTCCTCCCCATGAGCACACACTCTCACTCCTCCCCGTGAGCACACTCTCACTCCTCCCCGTGAGCACACTCACTCCTCCCCGTGAGCACACACTCTCACTCCTCCCCGTGAGCACACTCTCACTCCTCCCCGTGAGCACACACTCTCACTCCCCCTGAGCACACACTCTCACTCCTCCCCGTGAGCACACACTCTCATTCCTCCCCGTGAGCACACACTCACTCCTCCCCATGAGCACACACTCACTCCTCCCCCTGAGCATACACTCTCACTCCTCCCCATGAGCACACACTCTCACTCCTCCCCATGAGCACACACTCTCACTCCTCCCCGTGAGCACACACTCTCACTCCTCCCCCTGAGCACACTCTCACTCCTCCCCGTGAGCACACACTCTCACTCCTCCCCGTGAGCACACTCTCACTCCTCCCCGTGAGCACACACTCTCACTCCTCCCCGTGAGCACACACTCACTCCTCCCCCTGAGCACACTCTCACTCCTCCCCATGAGCACACACTCTCATTCCTCCCCGTGAGCACACTCTCACTTCTCCCCGTGAGCACACACTCTCACTCCTCCCCGTGAGCACACACTCACTCCTCCCCCTGAGCACACTCTCACTCCTCCCCATGAGCACACACTCTCACTCCTCCCCGTGAGCACACACTCTCACTCCTCCCCGTGAGCACACACTCTCACTCCTCCCCCTGAGCACACTCTCACTCCTCCCCGTGAGTACACACTCTCACTGCGGCAGGCAGCACCAGAGGCAGGTGGCCTGCAGGCCTTGGACCCATTCTCTGCAACCTTCCCTGATGAAATGCGAGGTGAGTGAGATAGGTGTTAAAATTAGTATTAAATAAAGATTGCCGGAGTCCAGCTCCAGCTGAGTTCGGAGCTCGGGAAGGGTGCGTGGAGTCGGCGATAAAGAAAGACACTTGTTGCGTTTTTGCTGCTTCCTTGCTTCTTGCTTGCTTGCTTGCTTTCAGCTTAGCTTTTTCAAGAAGAAGCTGTTCTTTTTATTTTCTTAGACACATCACAAACTTCTGCACAAACGTTTGATTTTTTATCTTTTACTTTAGAACTAAGACAGCATGCACAGATGTTCAATTAATTTTTACTTCATGGTCAACCAGGTGCTCTTAAAGATAATTCTGTAAGTTACTATAATCAGTTTCTTTAAAGCAAGCCGTTATTCATTCTTCAGAAGTGGCCACTAGGTGACAGCCAGAACTCCAAGGCCAAGGCACAGATGGTTACCTACTAATCAGTAAAACATTCTTACTACATTTTATTTTCACAACTTTATCTATCACATAATGGGAGAAATACATCAAAAGAGAAAAAATATAAGGATCTAAGACAAAAAGTTTCAAACATTAAATCCCCCTACGACTGCAGGCTCTACAGCCTCATAAGCAATCAAACAATAATCAAAAGTATATCTCTGTGATGTTAATAGAATCATCCTATATTTCCTCTAGTTAAAAGATTATGAAAGCGGCTAAAGCAGCTACATTTTCTATGCTCTAAAGAGTTGCAAGGACAGGTTAACCTTTAAGGTCACAGCAACTATATTTTTGCCATAGCAGTTTCAGCTCATATTCCCATCACTTCCATTAGTTTGTAAAATTCTTGTTAAGCCATTTCCCAGAAGGCATGCTATATGTCTGGGCCTGATTTCAGGGCAATGGGTAGGCACACAATAAGGTGTCCAGAAATGGCATGGGTTTAATTGTACTCCTGTGCGCAGTTAAAGGCCCACTCACTAAGACATTATCAATAACATTAACTCTTAAGCTCACAGTAGTTGCCAAAGCCATCTCACAGGGGCAAACAATGCCTCAATAGATTACAGAATTCTTAGTGGGGTGCCTGAGTGTCCATGCAAACAGGGGGTGAGACTGCGTCAAGGTGGTCAGAGAGAAATCGCCGGGCCCTGCCAAACAGCTGGAAGCTCCCCAGGCCCTGCCAAGCAGGGAGCTGTTCTCTTCACACCTTCGTGTCATCCATACATACTGCACGGACCCCAGCAAAAGATTAAAATAACTGAGGTGCAATTTACCTGCAGTGAGGTGCACAGATCTTAGTCTTGACACCTGTCTGCTCCAGCGTACCCCAGACCACAGTACCCTGTGCAGTACTGCTTGTTCCTTGAAGCCCCCAAGCTCCTAGTAGATATGCAAAACTTTGGTTGAAAGATATGCTTATATTTGGAAACAGGAATTTGGCTGTTTTTTGTCTTTGAGTGAAACTCCGCTAATGGCCCTTTGCTGCGCTGTGCTGGCTTGTTGACTGCGGAAGCAAGTTCGCACTGTGTCCTGTGTGTGCCTAGAAGTTTTTCTCCCTTCCTTGTTCATCACCGTCAGACCCCATGGCTGAACTTCCCCCTCTGCCCAGCCTCCGGCTCGTTAGGGACACACTCTGCGTTTGTATGTCTATGTGATTTGTTGTTATTGGGCATGAAAGATCCATCCTGGAGCAGCATTTGGCCCATCCAGTTCTGTGGCTTCCTGTCTCTTGGCGTGCAGGATGGTCTGTTCACAGCATTTGGTCGGTGTACAGGTCCTAAACACCTGCTTGCTTATTTGCTAGTTTTATTTCTGCTTTCATTGTCTATTGCGGCTGTTATAAATAACGTTTCTGGAGGCCTCCATGGACAGTCCCATTCCTTGCCTCACTGGCCTCTCCTGACCACATGCATCCCTTTGCTCATGGTCCCCCTTTACATGTTCCGAGCCAGCAGGCTCCGGTCACATATCCCTTCCTCCACACTTGCGCTTCCGTCCTGCACTGCTCGGGATGGTTTCTCCCTCTGAGGATCTGTGACTTGAAGTCATGTCTGGCACATAAGGAGGCATTCTGCTTAAGAGATGGGGCCCTGGCCTCTGGTTGGCCTATTCTGCCAGCTACCACAGCATACCCAGTGTTGCTGGTTGCTGTCTGATACGGCAGGGCAGAACTGTAGCAGAGGTGTGACGGCAAAGCCTGACTGCCTCTCTCCGTTCACCTGCAGGTCTCGGGCTACCCTGGCTCACATGGGATCACAGCCATGGCCAGCAGCATCTACCCAGGTCAGGCGTCTCTTTTGGACCAGTCAGAGTGCTGGAATCATAGACCTCAGGAGATAGCCGTGTGGCAGCCCAGCCTGGAGGTACATGAGTATTCCTGAGCTGCTTTCTGAGTGCGCTTCAAGGGACCTAGTATTTCTAAATCCAAAAATTGTTTGAGTTTTGTAAAATTTATTTTTATTTGAAACTTTATTTTTATTTGGAGTGTTACAGAGAGGAGAGATCTTTCATCCTCTGGGTCATTCCCCAAATGGCCACAGTGGCCAGAGCTGAGCCAGTCTGAAGCTGGGAGCCTGGAGTTTCTTCCAGGTCTCCCACATGAGTGCAGGAGCTGAAGAGGCTTTCCTAGGCTGTAAGCAGAGGGTTAGAAGTGGAACAGCCGGGACACACACCGGTGCCCATGTAGGATGCTGATGCCACACGTGGAGACTGCCCCAGATTTCTTATTTTGATGAGTGAGTTCTAAATCAAGATAATTCATACTCAAATTCGTGAGCCAAACAAAATTATCAACTTAAAACATTGCCTGCTGTAGATGTATTGAAGTTTGAGTCCTGCCCGCAGTTGCTTTGGCAACTCGAGTGACTCAACAGGTCTCACGTGGGCCATGGGCTGGACGCTCCCGTGTACTCATTAGTGGGAAGCTGACGCGGGGAACAGAGTGGGCCATGAAGTGAGTACCAATGTGGCATGCCAGTATACCATACAGCATCTAAATTGCTAAGCCAAATACCCACTCCTATGAATTATAATTGTCTTTTTTTTTTTAAGATTTACTTTCATTGGAAAGGCAGATATAGAGAGGAGAGACAAAGAAAAAGTAATTTTCTCAAAGAAATACCCAAAATGCAGACCTCTAAATTGCATATAATTAGTGTATATGCGAGGCCAGAGGGATGGGGGGCTGGCAAGAACAAAGGAATTACAGTCGACCGTATTAATTTCTACCAAATTTTGCTGATTAAACCAGGAGCCACTCGCAGAGTATTCAAAGTTATTTGCTTGGGTTGGGCATTGTGGCACAGCACATTAAGCCATCATCTAGGGTGCCTGCTTTCCGTGTTGGAGTAGCTGGTTCAAGCCTGGCTGCTCTGCCACAGGGCCAGCAGCCTGCTAATGGCCTCCAGGGAGCAGCGGGCGATGACTGAAGGGCTTCCTGGCTGGGCTCTGAGCCGTTCAGAGAGGGAGCCAACAGTTGGCAGGTAGCTGTGGGGTCTCACCCCCCGCCCCCTTGCTCTCACACTTCCAAGTAAATGAAACAGATCTTTGCATTGAGCAGCACGTGTTCCGCTGGCCAGTAAGGTGTGAGTTAAGATTATATTGAAACTTTCTATTTACCTGCATAGTATTTCTATTTTCACTGTAACTAATGAGACTTTTTTTTTTAAGATTTATGTATTTTTATTGTAAAGTCAGATATACAGAGAAAAGGGGAGACAGAGAGGAAGATCTTCGTCTGATTGTTCACTCCCCAAGTGGCTGCAACGGCTGGAGCTGAGCTGATCCAAAGCCAGGAGCACAGAGCCACTTTCAGGTGTCCCACGCAGGTGCAGGGTCCCAAGACTTTGGGCCATCCACTGCTTTCTCAGGCCACAAGCAGGGAGCTGAATGGGAAGCAGGGCTGCCTGGATTGGAACTGGTGCCATATGGGATCCCAGTGCATTCAAGGCGAGGACTTTAGCCACTAGGCTACCACGCTGGGCCCTTCGCTTTTTATTTTCAATTTATTTTATGATACAGTTCCAGAAACTCTGAGATTTCCCACTGATTTCCCCTATTTTATTCTAATAAATAATTATTTCTTAAGATTAGACCACTACAAGTGAATCTGTGAGCTCAGGAGTTAAATATCCATTAAGGATGCTTGGCGCATGTCTCAACTGCAAGCGCCAAAAATGTTCCCACGAGCGGAGGGCGGAGGGTTGTGTTTCCTCCGTTCTCACTTTGCAAGACACGCAAAGTAAGAACATGCAGACAGACTGACGGCCTGCTCACGTTCTCTGGGACTCTCCCCAGGACTCTGCCCTGGATCTGCGAGGGATGGGCCAGGGGCTGCCGAGCCACCTGATGGAAGAGCGGCTGATCCGACAGCAGCAGGAAATGGAAGAAGATCAGCGCTGGCTGGAAAAGGAAGAGAGATTTCTGGTACTTGTCTTACAGGAAGCTTGCTTCCGGTTTTTATGCTGTGTTAGATCTACTATGTTCCAAGTGATTGCAGAATTTCATCTTTTCCAAAGCAATGGTGTGAGTTTTACATCTGGTTCCCAAAAAGCGCTATTGTAAATTGCTTACTTTCCTTGATTATTTCTCAGAAGTACATTTTGGTAGTTTGGGTGTTGGCCTGTGAACTCAGAGTTTGAGCATCTCTCAGGCTTTTGCATCAACATGTGTTGACACAGAAACATGTGTCTATCAGGGCATAGGGCAGTCCTGCTGGGGCCCAGATTGGCCTTCCTTGGCACCCCTCTTCAGCCTAGCCAGTCAGATGGCTACATGGAAACTCCCCGCAACACCCAACACCCCTTCCCTGTATGTCTGGCCTGAGAGATGGGAACTGTGCTTTGCTGCAAGCGGTCCTTGTCCACATGGCTAGCTGGTGTCGCTTGGGAGCAGAGAGGAGTCAGTAGGACAGCGCAGTCTCTTGTGTCAGTTGATACAACAGTCTTTTTAGGCTCATGGCCCCTGCTCTTCTCAGCTCCAAAACCAGGGTCTGTGAGGACCAAGTCCCTGCTCGCGTCCAAGCCTGAGTAGCTGTTTTAGGCTTCCTCAGTGAGTTTGTAAAGAAGTGTGACTGCAGGATCCCATGTAAGCTCCAGTTCTTGTCCAGGTTGCTTCACTTGTGGCTTAGGAAGTCAGTGGATGATGGATCAAATCCTTGGGCCATCGTGGGAGACCCGGAGAAGCTCCTGGCTTCCAGCTTCACAGCGGTCAGGTCCCACTGTTGCAGCTATTTAGGGAGTGGACCACTGGATGGAAGAGCTTTCCCTCTTTCTTTCCTTCTATAAATCTGCCTTTCCAATAAAAAAAAATTTTTAATAAAATGGCAAAAAAAAAAAAAAAAAAGGAAATGTGACTGGAGAAGCCAGCATGTGTACCATTCGCACAAAGTCAAGTTGGTGACTTTGCCTGTCGTGTCCAAATCCAGTTCCTAGACTTTGAGCCAGGAGGTGCGTGCCCACTGGCATCTGCTGGCATCGTCTGTGCTGAGGAACTGCATGCTAACAGGCAGGACTTGCCCTTGCTGTTCCATGGCATGGTCTTAGAGCACACCAGTGTTTGACAAAGCAGAGTGTTTTATATAATAGTGATTTTTAACTGTTAGGGTATCTTGAAGTTGTACTCTCTGCAGGGGTTACTGTGCTGACCTCAGCAGTCCTGGCAGTGAGAGCATGCGTGGAAGTTGGGCGTCCAACCCTCCCACAAGGGACCAGCTCTTCCCTTGTTTTGTGTCGCAGATACACCACATTCCGGTGGTTGCCTGCAGGATAGTGTGCCCTACTTACACGCCTTTCTGTGTGAGGGAGTGAGAGACAGATTTTCAGCGTGAATGTCAGTGCTGCTGATAGTCCCGTTGATTATGTGCCCGTCATCATCCTGCCTGTTTCCATGTATAAGGTCGTATTCACAGCCCCCCCGAAGGAGAACAGGTCCAAATCTTTTGTCCAAAACGTATGAACGGGATCCAGCATGATAGTCCAATGGCTACAGTCACCTTGCATGTGCCAGGATCCCATATGGGCACCGGTTCATGTCCCAGCTGCTCCGCTTCCCTTCCAGCTGCCTGACAAAGGCCTGGAAAAACAGTCAAGGACGGCCCAAAGCCTTTGAACCCTGCACCTGCGTGAGAGACCTGGAAGAAGCTCCTGCCTCCTCGCTTTGGATCAGCTCAGCTCAGCTCTGGCCATTGCAGCCACTTAGGGAGTGAATCAGTGGATGGAAGATCTTTCTTTCTGTCACTCCTTTCTGTAAAGTCTGACTTTCTAATAAAATAAGTAAATAAGTAAATCTTTTTTTTAAAAAAAAAAAAAAGGTCATCTGTGTTTCAGAATTTGACCTTAACTCTAAAAAGTATAATATGCACACAATGTAATATTCTGGTTCATCCCAGAGTTAAAGCCATTAATGTTACCATAGCAAAATATAAATATCTATTTTTTAAGATGTATTATTTTTATTGTCAAGTCAGATATACAGAGAGAAGGAGAGGAGGATCTTCTGTGAGAAAATAGAGACCAAGAGAGGTGCAGTCAATATGATCGCCCCCGCTTGTTGGTGAGAGAGCCAGAGTGGCTAGCGTTCAAGTTCAGTGAGCCTCACCCAGTGCTGTGCTGCCCCTCCAGCACTTAGAGCCCCCTCTGCGGACAGCCAGGCTCACACTGGCTGGCCTATCATTATGGTTCTCTGTGTTTCTGTGAAAGGCAGAGACAGCAGAGTACCTCCTGTCTGCTGGTTATTCCCTACTGGCCACAGCAGCCACTCCTGCTGCAGCCAGAGCCAGGGCCCACACACTTGGCCAGCCTCTGCTACCTTCCCAGGCGCATGAGCAAGATAGTAGCTCGGAAGCAGAGCAGCCGGGACTCGAACCAGCAGCCCACCCTGGGGTTCCAGTGTTGTAGGCAGCACTTTGACCTGCTGTACCACAATACTTGCCCCCCAGGAAAAACAGGGCAAGTCTTCACTATTTAGTTTACTGTTACTAGTTGGGATCAGTTGGTTTGAATTTTGAACCTGTTCTAAGAGTAAACTAGGTATTCTCTAGCCTTGCATTTTATTTTTTAAGTGAATATACAGTTAACATTCAAACTTCATTGAGACATGTGTAATATGGCAATTTTACTGAGGATTTTAACCCTACCTAAGGTGATTACTGGGTTAGTAACAGGATCCAGTGCACACTTAGCACTAGTTAAATATTTTATTGAATTAATACAATACCAAACAAAATGCATTCAAATGCTTTCCTGAAAACAGTCAGTTTTAAGGCCTTTCTATTGCTAATGTCAGGTATGATAAAGGCAAGTATGCTTGCTTAACATAACTGTCTGATTTGATACAGCACTTAAACCTTTTAGTCCACAATATATTATTAAATGATAGAGAAATCTAATACAACCGTTTCTACAGAAGTAGGAATTAAATATCTAAGGAAGAAAGATTTTACAGACCCCATCTTTTCCATCCACCCAACAGTGTAAAGAGGAAAAGGCCAATGACTTTCCTCACAGCGCTCACGGCTGATGTCGCTTTGCTATCAGATACCTCGTTCTGGCCTGTGTGGAGCGTGGAGCTCAGACGGGCGTTCCCAAGGAAGGAGCACAGTGCCGCGTTGTGACAGCCTAGACTGCAGCAGCACGCACAGCATTCACACTCGCTCATCCGGGAGCCAGGCCAGCCACATTCATGGAGCCCTGCGTTTTCAATACTGTTTCCAGACAGTTCGCTCTGGACAGCACCGATTTATGTTTGAGAAAGTTCAGTGTCATAAATTCTCCACATGGAGTTAATCATTGTAACTCTTGTCCTGTATGTGACTGCATTTGAACCAGTTGGACTTAGCAGGCTTAGCTGTTAGTGCTGCCGGTGCCTCTTCTGTGGTGGCAGTCTGCTGACACACAAGCGGAGGAGGAGCCCGCTGTGCTGCTGCGGGAAGGAGGGTGTAGGCTGCGGGCTCCACGGCGCATGGGAGCCAAAGCGTGGCTGTGACATCAGTGCTCGCGGGGCCAGCAGGCAGAGGGGGGAGAGTGCACCATGGTGTAGGGCCTAGGATGGTTGCCTAAGAACGCCTGTGATCAGATGGGACCCCGGCAGGGTGGAGTGACGGGGAGCAGGCTGAGGCCCAGGACCCGCGCGGTCTTAGGGAGTTTGCAGACTCTTAAAAGAGGCTCAAGATGTGCGTTTCCCGGGCTGGTGAGTCCACTGGGATATTTGCATAAAATAAACTGCACAGATCTCATGTGTGTGAGTTGTTGAGCCTTGCTAAAAGCATAAGCCCATCCTAAGATATTTTCAGTGCTCCAAATAGTTTCTGCATCGTGTTCCCCTTTTTAAAATTGATTCATTCGTTCAGTCACTCAAAAGGCAGAGTGACAGGAAGGAGAGACAGAAGGAAGAATGTTATGTCCATTGCTGCTTCCCTTCCCAGACGTGTGCCACAGCCAACACCAGGTTGGGTCCAGCCCACGAGCCAGGAACTCCTTCCTGATGTACCATAGGAGGGTCAGGGTGCCAGCCACTTGGACTGTCATCTGCTCCCTTCCAGTGATTCGCGGAAATTCAGCAGAAGCAAAGAATGTGTGCTTTCTAGGACCAAGAGAGTCCTAGTGCCAGGACTCGGTCTGGCACTGTGCTGTGGGGTATGGAAGCACAGCTGGTCTCTGTCCTGCAGTGCGGCCCTATGTTGCAGTCCTGATCCATTTACAGCATTGCGTGGGTAGCACTGAATACTACCATGGGCCCGTGCCAGTCCCTGCCGTATGCTGCCTTCACTGTTGCTTGTTCCCAGCGTTTATTCTCAATTGGCCTTCTTTATATCTACCATGCAGCTCGAAGTTCTTATTTTCTTACTTCTTTCTCTAAAGTATTACCCATTCATTCAGGACTTCTCCACCTGGGTCTCGTTGCTGCTGACTGTTT